AACCGGGAGGAACCTACCACTGATGTGGCATCTAGCAACTTTTACTTCTTCACCTCCTCGCATAAAAGCTTCTCCCAGTTTTCAAAACAAATGATTAATCAGAGATGCATTTCCCCCGAATTTTGGAATTGCTGGATCATTAGATTGCACGAGCTAAACTTGGAGTTCCTCTCATCCATGATTACTGGCCGGAATAGCTGGGCGATGCAATCCAGGGACACAAATTTGGAAGTCCTTTTTAAAAAGCTGCTGAAGCTGCCTGGCTATCAACTCTATTCATCTTTGCAAATGCCCGGCTATAAAACGTGTTAATTACTTTTCTTTGGCATTGATTGGAATACTGTAATGGTCTAAAATGCTCCAGCGTTTTTATTGCTATCTATGATTCACTCCCTAAAGCATTTCATGGCCACAATTAGATGTAGATTTTGCAAAAAAACAGGGTTTTGGATCCATAGATTTGCAAAAAAAAAAAGCGATTTGCAAAAAGTGTTTGGATAACACAGTTGCCAAGAGCACCATTGTAACTGCAATTATCCATTGCAGTTAAAAAAGACAAAAAAGGAAGACAATTTCAGCCTTGGGAGGATGTGGCAGAGTCTATAAATCTTTCTTTTTTGTTACTGCCAGATTACAAAATTAGATTAAGAAATCAGGTAAAATGTTGCATTAGCACTAAACCCGAACGTGAGAGGTAACTTTAAGGAAAATAGGCATTTTCATTAAAAGGGCAAAAAAGAACTGCATAAGAAACCCAAAACCAATCTAAGTGGAAGAAGGTAAGAGGAATGATGGATGGCCTACTTTTTAAGAGCCACATAAAAACGAAGGGATGTAAGTTAGCCTTGTATGTATTGACTTACGTTGTATGTCACGAAGATGGGCCACATGCTACATTCAGCTCACATAGACTCAATACAATGATATATAGGCTTGTCCAAAAGTAGAGAATTCTAACTTCAGAATTTTTGCAGCCACTGAGTATTTTCTCCTCTCCCCATTTTAAATAAACACATATGAACGTTTTATGCTGCAGCAGGATGTATGTCCAGTGGGGGGGAAAATAAAACAATTAAGCAGGCCAAATGTCCAGTTATTTGATTTAGACTAGGAAGAGCAATCAGAAGGGTTGACGCTTATAGACTGGGGGATTGAAGTTCATGGACAAGGGAGACTTCAGTACGTGAAGGCTGTTCTCCTCCTCCTCCTCCTTCCAACCCCACTCCTTCTAGCACTGATGATGTTACCTAGTTTGGTAATGAATCATCTGCAAGAAAACCACTAAATAGAGAAAACACCCAGGACCCTACAGTCATTGTCTTCCCCCTCTTCCTCTTATCTCCTTTTCCATCTTTCCATCTCCTCCTTCCCCTTCCCCTCCTCCTCCTCCTCCTCCATCATCATATGTCAGGCACAAATAAGCTGATCCAAACTAGCTACTTTGTTCTCTGCCTGTTTCACAGGAAACTCCCCTTGCCCTCTTGTGTCTATGTATGGAATCCAGACTAATTCCCTGTTTGATCCCTCCTTCTAACTGGGATGGTTGCTCTCAAACACAATATTTTTATAGAAAGTAATGATGGTGTTTTGATAATAAATGTAATGAATGGAGTGGGGCCGGGTTGAAATCCAGCAGGTTTTGACAGGTTCTGGAGAACCGGTAGCGGAAATTTTGAGTAGTTCGGAGAACCGGCAAATAACCACCTCTTGCTGGTCCCAGAGTGGGGTGGGAATGGGGATTTTACAATATCCTTCCCTTGGAGTGGGGTGGAAATGGAAATTTTGCAGTATCCTTCCCCTGCCACGCCCACCAAGCCACGCCCACCAAGCCACGCCATGCCCATCAAGCCACGGTAGTAAAAAAATTTGAATTTCACCACTGGAGTGGGGTTGGCTTATTCCACCTCAGAATATACTGTATATTTATTGGTGTACTGCTTCAACTTCCTTTGCTAGTTCTGCCCTCTCAACCTGCAAGTGAAACAAGTAGTAGTTACACAAGACACGGCCTTTTCAGTTATCTCACCCAGACATCAAAACCCACTTCCTCGGGGCTCTTTATTTTTAGCTTTCCAACACTCCATAAAAACCTTCGGGTGGGAGCCAGTTCAGTCCGAACGTATCAGTAACCCACTTTGAAGTTTCCAAGTTCCTTACTTGGTCCCCTTACTCTTTAGTTTAGGAATCTCTTTTTTTTTTTTTTTTTTTCCTTTTAGCTATTAAAACGTTTTTGTTAGCAGCAGGCATTTTGAAATTTTGTCTTTTGTTCACAGTTTTTGATGTGACCGGCGAGAAAGGCAAGCGGACGCATTTCACATAAATAAAAGTTTAAAAAGCAATAAACTGCTGGTGTTTCTTCCATACAGAATGTCTGGGTTTTTAATAACGGAGTCTGGCTTGGTGCAACTCAGGGTTTCTCCATTGAGTGAAAAAAATGTGCCTCCAGTTGTGGCCAGTTCCCCTCGGTGAACCCCAAAGAAGTTAAGGAGGAACCAGAAAGGTCAACGGAGATTCTCAATCATCTAGGTCATGATTGTCCCAAAGGTGCTTTTTCCACCAGGCAACTGGATTTTCTTGGTTTTCTCCCTTGAAAACGTTTCGCTTCTCCTCCAAGAAGCTTCTTCAGTTCTAACTGCTAAGCAAGACAGTTAGAATTGACGAGGCTTTTTGGAGGAGAAGTGAAAGTTTTTCAAAGAAATAGAATAGAATAGAAATTTTTATTGGCCAAGTGTGATTGGACACACAAGGTATTTGTCTTGGTGCATGTGCTCTCAGTGTACATAAAAAGAAAAGATACTTTCGTCAAGAATCATAAGGTACAAGACTTAATGATGGTCATAGGGTACAAATAAGCAATCAGGAAACAATATCAATATAAATCGTAAGGATACAAGCAACAAGGTTACAGTCATACAGTCATAAGTGGAAGGAGATGGGTGATGGGAATGATGAGAATATTAATAGTAGTGCAGACGTAGTGAATAGTTTGACAGTGTTGAGGGAATTAGTTGTTTAGCAGAGTGATGGCGTTCGGGAAAAAACTGTCCTTGTGTCTAGTTGTTCTGGTGTGCAATGCTCTATAGCTTCGTTTTGAGGGTAGGAGTTGAAACTGTTTATGTCCAGGAAAGCCAAGAAAATCCAGTTGCCTTGTGGAAAGAGCATTTTTGGAACGAGCAACCAGAAATATCTGCACTTGTTCCTGAACGTCATTCATTTATGTCACGTGACTGAGGATATTTTGACCAGGACATAGTATTGAACGGCTGCCGAGATAAGTCCTGATCAAAAAGCTTGCGATTATTAATCATATAAAAGCAGTGGGTTTTCCATTTATGATCCACCAGCCAAAGACGAGACATTAGTTATGAGAAGGTGAATCAACTATGTTTTTTTGGTTTGGGTAATAAAATGAAATTTATTGAGAGGTCGGCCAAGACTCCCCCCCACTTCTGAAGTCTTGGAAGATGGAAGATAGGTGCTCCAAAAAGCACCTCTGATCATTCATTCCATACCAGAGAAAGGAAGGAGTTATGGAATGACGGTTATCTCCCAGGGACGGTCATTACCACCCCTTTCCCCAAGTGTATCTTGTTGAAGAGAATTAATTAATTAAGGGAGGTCCATCTAGCGGGACCAAGAAGAAGGCCCTTCTCTGTGGGAGCTCCCTCCTTGTAGAACATCATTCCTACGGAAAGAAAAGATTAATTCCCATTTTGACAAGATCCTGGTTTTGCCAAAGAGCCTGGCGATCTCAGAGTGGGATGGAGCCCATCAAATGGCTTGTTTCTTTGCTGTGGCCAGGGGACCATTTATTTTATATACTGGGTTATAAGTGCCTGGAGTCACTGAGAGTAGCCATATAAATTTTCATTCATTCATTTATTCATTCATTCATTCATTCATTCATTCATTCATTCATTCATTCATTCACGAATAATATTTATTGCTAACTACCGTACTTTTCAGAGTATAAGACACACTTTTTCCCCCCTAAAAGAGGGTGAAAATGTTGGTGTGTCTTATACACCGAATAAAGCCATTTTTGGCCTCCCGAAACCTCGCCCAGCGCATCCCATTTTTGCCCAAAACAGGCCAGTTTTTCACAAAAGCGGGATGCGCAGAGCATTTGGGAGGCCTGCAGAGTGCTCCTGGGGGCTGGGGAGGACAAAAATGGGACGCATGGGGGGTTTGGGAGGCCAAAAACGGGCCTGTTTTTAGCAAAAATGGGCCCATTTTTCTTGAAAACGGGACACACAGTGGGCTTGTGAGGCCTGCAGAGTGCTCCTGGAGGCTGGGGAGGGCAAAAACGTTTTTTTCCTTGTTTACCTCTTGAAATCTTGGTGCGTCGTATACTCTGGTGTGCCTTGTAGTCTGAAAAATACAGTATTTCCCAACGCTAGCTTCAGAATACTTCAGCTATCCAGAATTTTTTAAACTGTAATTTAAAACACAGTGGCTTAATTTACCTATAGCGGGTAAGCATAAACTGGTATATCTGCAGAGTATTATGTTAGGCCAAAAGCACAGCAGACCACATTAATTAACTGGTTAACATTCATTCTAGGCTTCCCAATTCTAATACAGCTGTAGATGGTTTCACAAGTTAAAAGAAATAAGGGGGACAACATAACACCTCTTCCCATTATTCCCAATTGGGAAAGGGCCACATGTGATGTCTTTCATGTTCTCTTGAGTTTGGTTGTTTTTTTGCAGGCATTTCATTACCTGCCTAGGTAACATCATCAGTGCTAGAAGAGAGTGGGGTTTCCTCTCTGTTTATACACAGTCGCTTGCCCTGCCTGGATTGGTTGGGACGTGGTCTTCTTACTAGTTCCTTGAGTAGGGTCAAACTCAACCTGGGCTAGGAAAAAAGTCGCTTGTGGTAAATAAGACAATGAGGCATGTGGGCTCTTTTATTCCAGGCAAGATTTCTGTGTGGAGAAGAAATACTTACTTATCTCCATTCCAATAATGCCACTTTTTGCATATTTTGTTCTCAGGTTGCTATCCTTGTCCAGGGCCAAATATGAACCCCATAGCTCTAGGAAGTCGGTGGCTGGCCTATGCGGAAAACAAGGTAAGGAATCCGTTTTAATTCTGTACTGATTTAAATCGGGCTCTTTCCTTTTCTTTCTCTTTGTCTGTCTGTCTCTCTCTCTCACACATGGATGTGGGGGAAAAAAAAGAACATGTGTAAGGATGGTTGACTTCCAAATAATCCTCTTGATGTTTTTATTATGAGTGCTGTAGTTTACTTTCCTCGCAGTCCATCAGGGCGTTGTAATCTGAAGTCCCAGCGTTTCAGGGGCCTCTGAAAACTTGGACGGAATCCCCCTAATGGGAAGGAAAGACTTCCCAGAAGTAGCTTTGAGAAATTCATGAATCACAACTCTACAAAACTATTAATAGCTGCTTGGACTGATAAAAGAGAGAGAGAAATATTTATTCCAGTTGCTTTCCTGCCTCTGTTTGCTTGTATGGGCTCATTTGCTGGCACGGTCTCCTACCTCTCCCAGGACAATCTGGCTGGAGGATAGAATGCAGCAATAAACAGGACTTTCTTACACAAACACACACACGCACACAGAGGGAGAGAAAGAGAAAGAGAGAGAGAGAATGAGAGAGAGAGAAAGAATGAAAGAGAGAGAAAGAATGAAAGAGAATGAAAGAGAGAGAATGAAAGAGAAAGGATGAAAGAAAAAAAGAGAGAGAGAGAGAATGAAAGAGAATGAAAGAGAGAGAAAGAGAGAGAATGAAAGAGAATGAAAGCGAATGAAAGAATGAAAGAATGAAAGAGAGAGAATGAAAGAGAAAATGAGAGAGAGATTGAAAGAGAATGAGAGAGAATGAGAAAGGATGAAAGAGAGAAAGAGAGAGATTGAAAGAGAATGAGAGAATGAAAGAGAGAAAATGAAAGAGAATGAGAGAAAATGAGAGAAGAGAGAGAATGAAAGAGAGGGTGATATAAAAGTAAGTATTTTGTTAAGAAGTTAATTGTAGAGGCAGGGTTGAAGGTACCCTGGAGTAGCTGGTCTTGCTATCATCTAAGTCTTACCACCACAATTGTGCAGCAAATTGCTAAGCAAGACAGTTATTAAGTGAATTAGGCCCCATTTTACAACCGCCCTTACCACAGCTGTTAAGTGAATCACCGCAGCTGTTAGGTCAGGGACACAGTTCTTCAGTGAATCCGACTTCCCCGTTGGCTTTGCTTGCCGGAAGGGCGCAAAACGTGATCACGTGACCCTGAGTCACCTCAACCGTCCCACGTACCTGCCAGTTGCCCTGATTCTGAATTTGGGTCACGTGATCATAGGGATGCTACGATGGTCGCAAGTGAGAAAAAACGATCGTGAGTCACTTTCGTTTCCAGTGGCTGTTGTAACTTTGAATGGTTGCTAAAAGAACTGTTGTAGGTCGAGGACTGCTTGTAACGGGGTTGAAGGAGGAGGGATGGGAGGAGAATCTTCTCAAGGGGGCCTGCTGTTGATTGGTTGTCTTGACCTAATCTAATGGAAACGCTTCCTTCTTGCAGCTGATTCGTTGCCATCAGTCCCGGGGCGGAGCTTGTGGCGATAACATTCAGTCCTACACAGCCACGGTCATCAGCGCAGCCAAAGTGAGTCTCTCAGTAGCCATTTCCGTGGCCGACATGACGATGTACTTTTTAAAAAATTTACAACTAGTTTTTTATTCTACTTTTTAAAATTTAAAAGTAGCTTTCATTCTGACTTCCATTTCAGGGTTGTTGTACAGGTAGACCTCGACTTACGACCACAATGGGACCCAAAATTTGTTGTTAAGTGAGACATTTGCTAAGTTTTGCTCCATTTTTACGACCTTCCTCGCCACGGTTGTTAAGTGAGTCACCGCAGTTGATAAGTGAGTAACCCGGCTGTTAAGTGGAATCTGGCTTCCCCCATTGACTTTGCTTGTCAGAAGGTCGCAAAAGGAGATCACGTGACTCTGGGACGCTGCAACCGTCATAAATAGGAACCAGTTGCCAAGCGTCTCAATTTTGATCACGTGACCGTGAGTGTTGCTGGAAAGGTTGCAACTGTGAAAAAAAGGTCCTAAGTCTCTTTTTTTCAGGGCCGGTCACTAAATGAATTGTTTTTAAGTCGAGGACTACCTGTATAGCCAAGAGCATTTATTTCAGTCATATAACTTCAGTCGTATAACTTCTAGTCTAACCTCCCAAGCAGGGGTTGGACTAGAAGACCTCCAAGATCCCTTCCAACCAGTGGTGGAATTCAAATTTTTAAAATACTAGTTCTGTGGGCGTGGCTTGGTGGGTGTGGTATGGCTTGGTATGCGTGGCTTGGTGGGCATGTTGTGGTGTGGCTTGGTGGGCGTGGCAGGGGAAGGATACTGCAAAATCCCCATTCCCATCCAACTCCAGTGGAAGGATACTGCAAAATCCCCATCCCCACCCCACTCTGGGGCCAGCCAGAGGTGGTATTTGCCGGTTCTCCAAACTACTCAAAATTTCTACTATTGGTTCTCCAGAACCTGTCAGAACCTGCTGGATTTCATCCCTGCTTCCAACTCTGTTATTCTATTCTATTCTATTCTATTCTATTCTATTCTATTCTATTCTATTCTATTCTATTCTATTCTATTCTCTATTCTATTCCATTCCATTCCATTCCATTCCATTCTATTCATTCATCCCATCCCATCCCATCCCATCCCATCCCATCCCATCCCTCCCTCCCTCCCTCCCTCCCTCCTATTCTATTCTATTCTATTCTATTCTATTCTATTCTATTCTATTCTATTCTATTCTATTCTATTCCATTCCATTCCATTCCATTCCATTCTATTCCATCCCATCCCATCCCATCCCTCCCTCCCTCCCTCCCTCCCTCCTATTCTATTCTATTCTATTCTATTCTATTCTATTCTATTCTATTCTATTCTATTCTATTCTATTCTATTCTATTCTATTCTATTCTATTCCATCCCATCCCATCCCATCCCATCCCTCCCTCCCTCCCTCCCTCCCTCCCTCCATCCTATTCTATTCTATTCTATTCTATTCTATTCTATTCTATTCTATTCTATTCTATTCTATTCTATTCTATTCTATTCTACTCTATCCCATCCCATCCCATCCCTCCCTCCCTCCCTCCCTCCCTCCCTCCCTCCTATTCTATTCTATTCTATTCTATTCTATTCTATTCTGTTCTGTTCTGTTCTATCCCATCCCATCCCATCCCATCCCATCCCATCCCATCCCATCCCCTCCCTCCTCCCTCCCTCCCTCCCTCCATCCTATTCTATTCTATTCTATTCTATTCTATTCTATTCTATTCTATTCTATTCTATTCTATTCTATTCTATTCTATTCTATTCTTATTCTTATTCTTATTCTTATTCTTATTCCTATTCTATTCCAATCCATTCCAAATAAAGATTCTAATTCTATTCTATTCTGTTCTGTTCTGTTCTATTCTATTCTATTCTATCCCATCCCATCCCCTCCCTCCCTCCCTCCCTCCCTCCCTCCATCCTATTCTATTCTATTCTACTTTATTCTATCCCATCCCATCCCATCCCCCTCCCTCCCTCCCTCCCTCCTATTCTATTCTATTCTATTCTATTCTATTCTATTCTATTCTATTCTATTCTATTCTATTCTATTCTATTCTATTCCATTCCATTCCATTCCATTCCATTCCATCCCATCCCATCCCATCCCATCCCTTCCCATCCCATCCCTCCCTCCCTCCCTCCCTCCCTCCCTTCTATTCTATTCTATTCTATTCTATTCTATTCTATTCTATTCTATTCTATTCTTATTCTTATTCTTATTCTTATTCTTATTCTTATTCTTATTCTTATTCCTATTCTATTCCAATCCATTCCAAATAAAGATTCTAATTCTATTCTATTCTATTCTGTTCTGTTCTGTTCTGTTCTATTCTATTCTATTCTATTCTATTCTATTCTATTCTATTCTATTCCATCCCATCCCATCCCATCCCATCCCTCCCTCCCTCCCTCCCTCCCTCCCTCCATCCTATTCTATTCTATTCTATTCTATTCTATTCTATTCTATTCTATTCTATTCTATTCTATTCTATTCTACTCTATCCCATCCCATCCCATCCCTCCCTCCCTCCCTCCCTCCCTCCCTCCTATTCTATTCTATTCTATTCTATTCTATTCTGTTCTGTTCTGTTCTATCCCATCCCATCCCATCCCATCCCATCCCATCCCCTCCCTCCCTCCCTCCCTCCATCCTATTCTATTCTATTCTATTCTATTCTATTCTATTCTATTCTATTCTATTCTATTCTATTCTTATTCTTATTCTTATTCTATTCCTATTCTATTCCAATCCATTCCAAATAAAGATTCTAATTCTATTCTATTCTATTCTGTTCTGTTCTGTTCTATTCTATTCTATTCTATCCCATCCCATCCCCTCCCTCCCTCCCTCCCTCCCTCCCTCCTATTCTATTCTATTCTACTTTATTCTATCCCATCCCATCCCATCCCTCCCTCCCTCCCTCCCTCCTATTCTATTCTATTCTATTCTATTCTATTCTATTCTATTCTATTCTATTCTATTCCATTCCATTCCATCCCATCCCACCCCATCCCTTCCCATCCCATCCCTCCTCCCTCCCTCCCTCCCTTCTATTCTATTCTATTCTATTCTATTCTATTCTATTCTATTCTATTCTATTCTATTCTTATTCTTATTCTTATTCTTATTCTTATTCTTATTCTTATTCTTATTCTTATTCTTATTCTATTCCAATCCATTCCAAATAAAGATTCTAATTCTATTCTATTCTATTCTGTTCTGTTCTGTTCTGTTCTGTTCTATTCTATTCTATCCCATCCCATCCCCTCCCTCCCTCCCTCCCTCCCTCCCTCCATCCTATTCTATTCTATTCTACTTTATTCTATCCCATCCCATCCCTCCCTCCCTCCCTCCCTCCTATTCTATTCTATTCTATTTCTATTCTATTCTATTCTATTCTATTCTATTCTATTCCATTCCATTCCATTCCATTCCATTCCATCCCATCCCATCCCATCCCTTCCCATCCCATCCCCTCCCCTCCCTCCCTCCCTCCCTCCCTCCCTCCTATTCTATTCTATTCTATTCTATTCTATTCTATTCTATTCTATTCTATTCTATTCTACTCTACTCTACTCTACTCTACTCTATCCCATCCCATCCCATCCCATCCCATCCCCTCCTCCCCCTCCCTCCCTCCATCCTATTCTATTCTATTCTATTCTTATTCTTATTCTTATTCTTATTCTTATTCTTATTCTTATTCCTATTCTATTCCAATCCATTCCCTTCCCTTCCCTTCCCTTCCCTTCCCTTCCATTCCATTCCATATTTTCTATTCTATTCTTCTATTCTATTCTATTCTATTCTATTCTATTCTATTCTATTCTATTCTATTCTATTCTATTCTATTCTATTCTATTCCATTCCATTCATTCCATTCCATTCCATTCCATTCCATTCCATTCCATTCCATATTTTCTATTCTATTCTATTCTATTCTATTCCATTCCATTCCATTCCATTCCATTCCATTCCATTCCATATTTTCTATTCTATTCTATTCTATTCTATTCTATTCTATTCTATTCTATTCTATTCTATTCTATTCTATTCTATTCTATTTCTATTCTATTCCATTCCATTCCATTCCATATTTTCTATTCTATTCTATTCTATTCTATTCTATTCTATTCTATTCTATTCTATTCTATCTATTCTATTCTATTCTATTCTATTCTATTCTATTCTATTCTATTCCATTCCATTCCATTCCATTCCATTCCATTCCATTCCATCCCATCCCATCCCATCCCATCCCATCCCATCCCATCCCATCCCATCCCATCCCATCCCATCCCCTCTTTCCTCAAAAGAGATACAGGGCAAAATAAGAAAATGGCAGGTTTTGTAACAATAAAATACAAACCTTAACAGTTAATCTTGACAAACCGACATTAAAAAGACATTTTCACCTGAAAAAAAAATGGGTAGGAACTTTAAATGTAGCCGTGCTTTTTATAAAACAGGAACAGGAACGTTCTACCTAATCCAACATTCACTCCCAAAATGGTTATCCAGAAAACCCACAGGCACGATAGGAGCCCAGCACCCACAGAGCCGGTGGTCAGGAATGATCAAGGCTGAAACAACATCTGGTGGGCCACCATTTTGACATAAATATAAATGTGAATGAAGAAATATATATTTTCACAGCATGAGGACATATGCCTTTTTTTTTATAAAAAAAAAATCATGTCTCTGAATATGGAAATCCTATGGAAAACATCTGGGTAAGATTAAAGAGTAAAAAGTGGTACCTTTGTGGGCATCAGCTGCAGGCCACCTACCCAGATAGAAGACGTGGCCAATGGCTTTTAAAATCCTAGCTCCAATGCAGGTACTCCTTGACTTACGACCACAAATGTAAGATACATTTTGGAGCCCAAAATGTATCTTACTAAGTAAGGCAGTTGTGAAGTGAATTTTGCCCCATTTTATCACCTTTTTCTTGCCACAGTTGTTAAGTGAACCACTGCAGTTGTTAAGTTAGTAACACGGCTGATAAGTAAATCTGGCTT